TGAAAAAGATTTTTTAAAAGGAAAGGTTGACACTACATTGTTTTTAAAGAGAAAAGGTAAAGATTTATTAGTAATTCAAATTTATGTTGATGATATAATATTTGGTTCTACTAATGATGTTCTTTGCCAAGAATTTTCTAAGCTAATGCAAAGTGAGTTTGAGATGAGCATGATGGGGGAGCTCTCATTTTTCTTGGGACTCCAAATCAAGAAAAGAAAAGATGGCATCTTCATTAATCAAGCTAAGTACGTCAAATATATGCTCAAGAAGTTTGGACTGGAAAATGGGAAACCTTATAACACTCCAATGAGCTCTTCAACAAAGCTTGACTTAGATGGAGGAGGTAAATGTGTAGATGTTAAATTATATAGGTCAATGATTGGCTCTTTGCTTTATCTAACCGCAAGTAGACCGGATATTATGTTTAGTGTTTGCTTGTGTGCTAGGTTTCAATCATGTCCTAAAGAATCACATTTACTAGCTGTTAAGAGAATCTTTAGATACCTTAAGGACACTCCTAATTTAGGACTTTGGTATCCTAGAGACTCTATATTTAGCTTGCATGCCTTTTTCTGATGCGGATTATGGAGGATGCAAATTAGATAGGAAAAGCACCTCCAGTACTTGCCAATTCCTTGGAAATATGCTGATTTCTTGGTTTTCAAAGAAACAAAATTGTGTTGCATTATCTACCACTGAAGCGGAATACATTTCAGCCGGTAGTTGTTGTGCACAAGTTTTATGGATGAAACAACTTTTTGATTATGGAATTGAAGTAGGTACCATTCCTATCAAGTGTGACAATACTAGTGCTATTTGTCTCACTAAAAATCCCATCCAACACTCTAGAACTAAGCACATTGAAATAAGACATCACTTCATTAGAGACCATGTCACTAAGGAAGATGTAGTTCTAGAATATGTTGATACTTTGCATCAATTAGCGGATATCTTTACAAAACCCTTAGACAAGGAAAAGTTTTGGACACTTAGAAGAGAATTAGGTTTAACTAACCTATCTTCACTTAGTGTTTAAAATAATTTAGCACTTTTAATAAATAATGAAAAATGCTTACAATAATAATTTTTGATTGCATTCTTGCTATTAGTTAGGGGGAGTTTATGATTCTTAGTGAAAATTAATTTTATGTTCAAATAATGTTTAAAGATTAATTTAATTGTTTGAACATAATTATTTTTCAATATATGAGTTGCCTATGCCACTAGAGAAAATTAATTTAGCATTTTGTGTGCTTAAAAATCTGATTTTAGCATTTTAGTGCAGAGAGAATCAATCCCCACATGAGGGAACCGATTCCCCCTTTGAAGGGGAATCGATTCCCCCCACAGGGGAATCGATACCCCCCTGGGGTTCTGTTAAAATCGGGCAAAACCCTTCAAAACACGCAAAAACCCTCCATTTTCTTCCTTGTCGACCAAACTCTCTCCCTTTCTCCTTTCTTGCCTCAAATCAACGATATTAATCGGAATTCGCTTCAAATATCATCTTCTAAACTTGTTGGAGTCATTAAAATCGTACAAACAACATCTAAATCCCCTCAATCTTCATCTTTCAATGTAAATTTTTCTAAACTCTCTATTTTATTGATTTTGAACATAGGATTAGTTTTAATTAGTTCTAGGTTGAAATAGTGATCGGACATTGATTGTTTAGTGATTAGAAACTAGATGTTACAACTAATTTCATCAAAAACACAAGATTTTTCCAAAAATTTTAAATTTTCGAAATTAAAAAAAAAATTTGTTGTTTTTCAAATTATTGTGTTTTGATTAAATTATGTTGTTGTTATGAAAACTATACATATATTGTTTCTCAAAACCATATTTTTCAAAAACTTTGCCCATTAGGATTGATTTAGAGAACCTTGAAATATTGAGGACTCAATTGAGTTTTGGGATTAATTGAATTGCATACATTTGTTTTTAAAATTGCAAGTTATCCAATTTATTCCGATTTCCTTCACCATGTCTAATCCTAAACATGCTAGGTCTTCATCTAGTCGTTCACACCGACAACCAAATCCACCTCCAAATCCTCCACCTATTCCAATTTCTAATCCTAATCCTATTGATCCTAATTTGACTATCCAAAATTCGTGTTTCAATCATCCTGGTCCTAGAAATCATCGTTTTTGGTATTATCAATATTTCGACTCTTACAAAATCCGGGAATAACGTATTCCTTCTCGTCAAGCTATGTTAGCTATCAATTTTAAAATATCTTCCTCTTTTACAATAGTAGAAATTTGATAAACTCTTTGACCTTGAACCCATCGTTTACCATCAACTTGTTCGTATTTTCTATTCTAATGCCGTTTGTGTTAAAGACCAAACTGAAACCGAAACCATAGGAATTCGTTCCGACCTTCTAGGACAATTCTTATATATTGACTCGGCTTACATAGCCAATACATTCGGATTAGATAATGAAGGGATTTCAAATGAAAAACAGGTTTTAGGATCTCGTTATAAAAGAAGGGATAGTGCAAGTGTCCTAGACCTTCATGAACGTTTTCTTCATCTAATGATTTCTTGGTGGTTTCGACCATCTGGAGGTCGTTATTCTACTCTTAGAGCCTTAGATCTTTGGTGGTTACATTGTTTCGAAAAACAATATTAAAATCAACCTACCTCAGATTATTTTTGCTGAAATTGTTGAAACCGTAAATCTTGTTCCTAATAAAAAACTTTGTTCATCTCTTGTTTACGGTTGTATTTTGAGTAATCTGTTTTCCAAAGCTGGGCTTAGAGTCGGTCTAGATGCCGTTTTTCCCCTTAAGAAACAAATTAACCTTCTTTCCTTAACGAGAGCGGGATGGATTAAGGATAAGGAAACCGGGGAATGGGTTCGAACTTCTGCAACTACTCCGGGAGCTAGTTCATCACAAGCTCCACCCGAAGCTGACGAAGATCTCGAGCTTGAGCAACTAATGCGAGACATCGATGAAGCTGAAGTTGAACCTGAGCAGGCCGAGGAGCAGCCCGAAGAGCAAGCACAACAATCGACTCAAATGCCTCCATATTTTCAATCTTTTATGGAGACATTTGATTACCGATATGCGACCATGGATTCGCGCTTTATTTCTATAGAGTCCCATTTATCCATAATGGGAGCTCAACAATTAGAAATTCTTCGGGAAATGCGTGCAAATAATAAAGCAATCAACGCACGTATTAATGACCTCACTAACGAAATGGCCGCTATGCGAGCTCGTTTTCCTCCTCCTAATCCGGATATATGATTAAATATTTTACTTTGTTTTCCAAACTTATTGTTTTAACATTTTGAATATTTTGGGATGTTTGAATTTGAGGATTGTGAATTTGTTTGGATTTATGGATGGTTTGAACTTATATGTTTGGTGTGATTTATTTATTATTGCATCATTTACATCATTATTAGCAATATGACCAATTTTGCCATATCGCATTATTTATGAATATTGATTACGGAACTAATGGCTAACGTTTCTCTTAATTGTGATCTTAGCAGCTTATGCATACATATACCTAATCAATTGGCTTAATATTTTTCACGTTTATTTGAATCTTTTTGATTTAACAAAAAGGGGGAGAAGTGTGTTTTAAGTGTGTTTTTAAAAATGATAAATGGGAGAAGTGTTAAAGTAAGGGGGAGTAATTTCAAAACTTGATTTCAAAATCTTAAAATTACTAAAATGTTTTGTTATATCAAAAAGGGGGAGATTGTTGAAAACATTTTGATATTTCGATATAACAAATTAAGTTAAATGAATTTTAAGATTTTTCAAAATGATTTTCTAAGTATATTCGATATAATTATTCGAATATCAAAACATTACTCAAAATATTTCAAAAATCATTTTTAATCCTTACTTAAGTGTAAAATTAAGTTTTAATATTAAAACAATTTCAAAATAATCTTTAAAAGTATTTCGAACCATTTCAAAGCCAAAAATTCCAGAATGCTCGGAGGGAATCGATTCCCCCATAGGGGGTACCGATTCCCCCTGTTCAACGGTCGAAATATTTGAATTTTACACTTAGGGAACCGATTCCCCATAGGGGGGTACCGATTCCCCCCACGCTCCAAACTGTTTTATTAATTGTTTTCACACTAAAACGGCTATATGATCTTCACTAATAATCTCCAACGTTCAGAAGAGATTCAAGGTGTATTTAAACAAGTTCTGAAGCCCTTGATCAACAAGAATCATAGAGAAACAAGAGAGAAAGCATCAAACACCAAGTTTGTGCAAATCAAGCCAATTTTCCTTTCAATATTCATTTTGCTTTCAAGAACACCATTTGTGCCCATTTGTAATTATCTTTGAGTGTTCTTTTCTTGTTCTAGAATTGTGCAAACATCTTACCTTGTGAGGTTTTCTTGTAAGTTTGCAAATTTGTAATCTTCTCTTTGGGAAAAAGAGTGTTCTCAAGAGTTGGGGTATACTCTTGAGGGATTTTGTAAGGTTATCTCTTTGGCCTCAAAAGAAAGAACAAATTAGTGAATTTGTTGGAAAATCCTTAGTGTGGATAGCTAAGATAGTGGACGTAGACTTTGTTTGAGAAAGTCGAACCACTGTAAATCGCTGTGCAATTACTTTCAATTTTTCTGCAAAAGCTTCCACGAAATTTTTAATTGCCAATTCACCCCCCTCTTGGCCGATTCCGTCGATCGATTAACTCAACAAAAATCAAATATTAGGTTGCAACTGGAAATCAGATATTAGGTTGCAACCTAGAACCTTAAACTAGAAATCAGATAGTATGCTGCAATTGAGAATTTAGGTTGCAAACGATTTTGTCATGTATATCAGGTGTAATGAAGTTTTTTAGTTGTTTTTTAGTCTGTTTTAAGTTAAGTGTTTATTTTACACTAATGTTTGACAGGTGTGCATTTCAAATTATTGTGTTTTGTAATCCTTTTAAATGAAATTGTAAGAATGACGAGAGTAGTCCAAACCTCTCCATCTTTGTTTAGACAATATGCATTCTTTTCTCCTTTGATTTTCTGCTCCTCTCCTTTTTGCTTTCAAGCTTGTTTTCTTGGTTTAAAATTTACAATATAAACCATTAAAATCATATAGAATTTCATACTTGAAACTGAACCAAATGGATCAAATTCATCAAAGACCTCCACTTGATTTCAAGAAGCTGGATTATTAAGATCAAGGGCTACTTGGTAAGGATTATTATTACTAGCAGGAGGAGAACCCCCAAGAGCAACTGTTACAGAAGTTGGTCAAACCTATCATAAAAGATATTTTTTAGTGTGTATCAAGCAAAACACAATTGAAAGTGACATGTATTTGAAAAGAAATACTTTTCACTATAAGAAAGGTTAGGGTTACCTTCATCCCGATAGTGATCATCAGCTCGAGCACCACCTCCTCTAACAGAGAAGATGATCATGTCAAGCAAAACACAATGAAAGTAACACAAATGTTTGAATTCCCACTGACCATCATCTCTATATCCGTACTCAAGGTCTCTTCCACGACCAATCTGATCATCATAATCCCTATTTCCATAATGATTATAATCATATTTGTAGTTATATCCTCATTAATCTTTCCTATACATTCCACCTGTTGATGTATTTTGAAACCTGTATAACAAACAAGAAAATATTATGGAAGAACACAACATCCCCACTAATTAATATTCTCATATCAAGAATTAAACTCCAAAGCAATATCTTTAACAAACTGTTTACAGGAGAAGGAATGTAATCATACAAATCCCACTGATCATGATCAAGAAATGTAACTAGAATGTACATAAATGGAACTAAATAAAAAAGAACTATATTAAGCATGGAGCTTTTCTATTTGAGTTCCATTTATATGCTAATATTCTCAAAGTTTTATTACTCAAGAAAGAAAGAAAAAAATGGATGTCAATTGGCGAATGCATGAACAATGAATATCTTACAATTAAAGGTAAGGGTGAGAAAATACAGCTGCACCTTTGGATAAAAAAACCATTTTAATCAATCTCAAAAAAAAATTCATGGACAAATTAATGTGACATCAAAATGTAAATGAGTAGCATAAACGTGTCTTTCACTGTTATGTGAACAACATATACAACATAACACTTCAAGTATACTAAAGTTCAACCCTATATAACAGAATGTTTCATCTAAACCTTATAAAGCAAATACATTTCATCTTAAGAACCATGAAAATCAAGGTTAACAGACCAAAGAGTCCATACCTGTTAGAAGAACAATTATCAACAAAACCGCAAACCATATTCGATATACTTGTTGTAGACAGAGGAAAACTTTTACCATCTAAACCATTCTCTCTCAAGATGATCCATTCTAATCTTACGGAATTAAAAACAGATCATGTCAGCAATCATTATGCAAAAAATTAACATTTGAATTTCCAAAATCAAATTGAACAAAAAAAATGAATACAATAAGCATTCAAAAATAGAAGGCTTTCAGATGAATTATGTCTTCCCTTAAATGTTATAAAAAAACATAAAGACTACAGAGAAGAAATTAAATATTCAAAAATAGTAAATCGAGAAAGAAATACTCTGCATACTTAAAGACAATCCAAAACAGGTTCAAGGATTTTATATTTCAATTTAAAATCAAAATTGAAATAAGTCAGCAAAATAGTCTTTCAGGTTTTAATATAAAATTGCCACTAGTATGTAACTAACAGTAAAAGGTTTATGCCCCAAAATGTAATATTCCTATTTAAACGACTAACAATTTGGTAAGAAACATGTAATTCAAAGATAGAAAGTACACTAAAACCTACCACATAAAAGATAAATTAAAAATAATAAAATGGAATTTGAAGCAACAGCGCATCCATGAAAATCAAGGTTAACAGACAAAGGGTCCATACCTGTCAGAAGAACAATTATCAACATAACCGCAAACCATATTCGATATACTTGTTGTAGACAGAGGAAAACTTTTACCACCATCTAAACCATTATCTCCCTCAAGATGATCCATAGGCAATTAGTTTCTAATCTTTCGGAAGTTTCTAATCTTTCGGAATTAAAAACAGATCATGTCTGTAATTGTTATGCAAAAAATAAAAATTTGAATTTCCAAAATCAAATTGAACAAAAAAAATTTGAAGACAATAAGCATTCAAAATAGAAGGCTTTCAAATGAATTATGTCTTCCTTAAATGTTATATAAAAACAAAAAGACTACAGAGAAGAAATTAAATATTCAAAAATAGTAAATCGAGAAAGAAATACTCTGCATACTTAAAGACAATCCAAAACAGGTTAAAGGATTTTATATTTCAATTTAAAATCAAAATTGAAATAAGTCAGCAAAATAGTCTTTCAGGTTTTAATATGAAATTGTCACTAGTATGTAACTAACAGTAAAAGGTTTATGCCCACAAAATGTAATATTCCTATTTAAATGACTAACAATTTGGTAAGAATCATGTAATTCAAAGATATAAGTACACTAAACCTACCACATAAAAGATAAATTAAAAAATAAAATGGAAATTGAAACAACAGCGCATGTCAAACCTAATATTTGGACAACTCGGAAAATTACATTTTTCAGGGCTATATGTCAAGAAAAAAGAACATAACATAACTATGTTTCATAATTGAAGATGACTATGACCATCTAGGTAATAGAATTGGAACATATAATCCATTGAATTCATATAGAATTTCATACCTGAAACTGAACCACATAGATAAAATTCATGAAAGACCTCCACTTGATGGTTTCGAGAAGCTGAATTATTAAGATCAAGGGCTACTTGGTTATGATTATTATCGCTAGCATGAGGAGAAACCCCGGGAGCAACTGCTACAGAAGTTTGGCAAATCCTATCATAAAGATATTTTTCAGTATGCACCATCAAGCAAAACACAATTGAAAGTAATGTCAATAAAGAGATACCTTTCTCTATAAGAAGGGTTACCTTCCATCCTGAGAGTGATCATTAGCTCTAGCACCGCTTCCCCTGACAGAGAAGATCATCAAGCTAATTAGATTCCCCATGTCAAGCAAAACACAATTGAAAGTAACATGTCTTTGAAAAGAAATACCTTTCACTATAAGAAGGAATATGAATCTCAATTAATGCTTCTACATAACTGCAAAAAGCACCGACATTTTGGTGAGAATGCCTGCGCTCATGCTGCCTCCACAAAAGACTTTTTTTTTCCTTCAGAAAATTCAAGAAACAAGAAACCAACAATTATTGTCTAATAAAAGATTGATCAACTACAATTGAAGTTTAGCCTAGATGGTTTAAGAATACACTTAAGAGGTGAGATGCAACAAGTCTAGACTTTAAATTTCAACACTTGTAAAGCATATCAAGCTTCCCCTTGAAGAGAAAATGATCAAGCTTCTTTCATGGTTACCTTCCATCCTGAGAGTGATCATTAGCTCTATTGCTGCTTCCCTGACATAGAAGATGATCAAGCTAATTAGATTCCCCATGTCAAGCAAAACACAATTAAAAGTAACACGTCTCTGAAAAGAAATACCTTTCACTATAAGGAATTTGAATCTCTCTTATTGCTTTTACATAACTGCGATGAGCACGACATTTTGGTGAGATGCTTGCGCTCATGCTGCCTGCAAAAAAGATATTTTTTCCTTCAGAAATTCAAGAACAAGAAACCAACAATTATTGTCTAATAAAATATTGATCAACTACAATTGAAGTTTAGCCTAGATGGTTAAGAATACACACTTAAGAGGTGGGATGCAACAAGTCTAGGCTCTAAATTTCAACACTTGTAAAGCATATCAAGCTTTGCCTGGATGAGAAGATGATCAAGCTTATTTTATGGTTACCTTCCATCCTGAGAGTGATCATTAGCTCTAGCACTACTTCCCCTGGAAGAGAAAATGATAAAGCTTATTTCATTCCCCATGTAAGCATATCAAAAAGGTATTAGCATCGTAACCGAAATTTCACAAGGATCTCAAGTTTCAAATCTGGAATGTTATATGGTGAAATGACACTCAAAAGCACATTTGGATAGAGAAATTCCATAGAAAGTTACCAAGTAAATTCAACATTTAAAAATCCTAATCTAGTGCAATAGAAACTATTAATATTACACCTTCATTTTGAATGTTTTTCATTATTACTTCAACAAAAATTGAGACATGTTCAACATTATTTAATAAACAATATTAATGTTTCATGAATGAACATAGCAATATAAAGGCCTCAAAGTAAATAAGTGCATACCAACAAGAAGAACCATCCTCGTCAAAGCACAGTCTCTACCATAGCTCCTAAATCCTGTGCGTACTGATAATCATCAACACTTCTTCCTCCGTAGTCATCATCCCTGCTGTAGCGGTCTTCATATCTCTGCCATAACAATTATTTGAATCCCCATATTTGTCATACTGATCATCATCTTTATAGCCTTACTCATGGTCTCTTCCATGACCATTCTTATCATTTATAATCCATGTTTTCATAACAATCATAATCATATTTGTCACCATATTCCTTGAACACGACTTATATCCCCATTATTTAATATTCTCATATCAAGAATGAAACTCAAAAGCAACATCTTTAACAATTGTTAACTGGAGAAGAAAAGTAATCATACAAATCCCACTGATCATGATCTAGAAACGTACATAAATGGAACTGAATAAAAAAACTAGATAAAGCATAGACCTTTTTCTATTTGAGTTCCATTTCATTGCTAATATTCTAAAAGGTTTATTACTCAAGAAAGGAAAAAAATGGATGTCAACTAGTGAATGCATGAACAATAAATATCTCACAATTAAAGGCAAGACTGAGAAAATACAATTGTACCTTTGCAGAGAAAAAACACTTGAATTGGAACACAAAAACCATTGAACTCATATAGAATTTCATACCTGAAACGGAACTGCAGGATCAAATTCATCAAAGACCTCCACTTGATGGTTTTGAGAAGTTGAATTATTAATATCAATGGCTGCTTGGTAAGTATTATTATTGCTAGCATGAGAAAACCCTAGGAGCAACTGCTACAGAAGTTTGGCAAACCCTATCGTAAAAGATATTTTTCAGTATGCATCATCAAGCATAACACAATTGAGAGTAACGTCTCTAAAAAGAAATACATTTCACTCTAAGAAGGGTTACCTTCCATCCTAAGAGTGATCATTAGCTCTAGCACTGCTTCCCCTGACAAAGAAGATGATCAAGCTGATTACATTCCTCAAGTCAAGCAAAACACAATTGAAAGTAACGTCTCTGAAAAGAAATACCTTTCACTATAAGAAAAAATCTGAATATCACTTACTGCTTCTACATAAGTGCGAGGAGCGTTGACATTTGGTGAGAATGCTTGCGCTCCTGCTGCCTCTGCACAAAATTTTTTATTCAGAAAATTTAAGAAACAAGAAACCAACAATTATTGTCTTATATAGTTTGATCAACCACAATTTAAGTTTAGCCTAGATGGTTTAAGAATGAGAAACTACAGCTGTACCTTTGGAGATAAAAACCACTTTAATCAATGCAATATAACACATTAAGTCTACTAAAGTTCACCCAATAAATCAATAAGTTTCGCCTAAGCCTTATAAAGTAGATACATTTTCATCTTAAGAACCGTGAAACCAAAGAAACTTCACTAAAGAAAATGCTGGAAAATCAAATAAAACTTGAGACCTTGAAATCAATGAATCAAAACAACAACAAATACAAAGTTGCACCTTGATATCAGCACCACCAGAAAATATTTGAAGATCTTTGATAGATGAAAATGTGGTATCCATGACACAGTAATGTAGTGCATCCCCTAAACTTGTTCCATTATCATTTTGGTCTCCTGAGGAAGCTTCTTCTGCTTTTGAGGTCAATTATAAGAAGCAGCAGCAAAGATTCCCCCATGGACTGCAATTTCAGTTAAAAAATTACAAATTGATTCAATTCATATACCACACAATAAACGAGATAACTAGATCCTAGACAATTTACTTCTGAAGTCTAAACTTCATGGATGCTATAGCAATTAGAGTACCTTCAGCACTTGCAACATTACAGTCTACTGAAAAAAAGGTTAACATAATTCTTAATTCATGGATTTTATTAGAAATCTGAATAGCATGCCAATGTAGCAGGTTAGGAACCCATAAATGGTTTGCATTGAACTTTACATTTTTATTATGTTTTGAATAAGCATGTAGTTAAGAATATATGAGTAAGGCTTAAGAGAAAGTAAACTATTGCGACAACAAAATCAATCCTCATGTTATCTGCTTACTAATGGTTTGGAAGGAATAACCATGTAAAAATTAATCTTTTTTTGTTATTGATCTCAACTAAATATACCCAATGCTATGTTAAACATATCTTTTCTTGACAAACTTGACTTTTGGACACTTCTTAGTTACAAATCTGACGGACCAATACAAGTAGACACAAACATAGACAAAATAATAGAGATACGTATAAAATCATTATTAAAAGAGAAAAAAAGCTCACTTGAGAACTGATACTAGGCCTTACGATATTTTAAGAACATAGCCATCCGATTTCCAGAACCTGAAAAAAGAAAAGAAGTTGAAATAGCAAGGTCAATCATAAGTATTCCAACTAAAACTTCATTATAATTTTATTACAGACCCTAGATAGTTACAATCAGAGTACAAGGAAAAGTCAAGATGCCATGTTCATAGGAAAACTGTAAAACTTAAAAGAATGAACGGAACATAGATTATCTGAAATCATAAACTTTGCAAGAGATATTCAAATTACCGAATATGCATATATCATGAACGCCGACTTGTGATCTAAAGCAATATGCATTTAACAAAACATGGTATCACTGATGTATGAAACATGAGCACCACATTAAATAGATTAAACAGTGAGCACCACACTAATAGATTAACTTGGTTATAGGCTAACTTTGTATACAGTCGAAAAATTTTAACAATAAAGTATCATTTTCCCTCCTTCCCTTCCCTTACCCTTCACTCCCCTCGGTCCAATGAAATCCTGCTAATGACAAGGATGCTTTTTCTTGAGAGGCGATCAGAAATAGTAGTTCTTCCTTTAGAAACCGGTAGGAACCTATAATCCTAATATACTAAGAAACCTTTTGCCGAACTATCTTTATCATCTCATATGGGAAAGAAGCATGAACCAACAAAAGACCAAACAATAACATGACCCAACTCATCGTACTAAGTGAAATGCAGAAAAAGCAAAAATTCATTCTGAAGCATGGAGATATTACAGAATGAAAAGATTGTTACAACAAAACTAGAGATGTGGTGGCCACTTCTATCTTTTCAAGAAGAATTAGATTTAGAGATATGAAAACCTTGTTGAAGAAACCGAATTAGCTTATTCAGAACATCGTCCAGCAAAACCAATGAATCATTAAAAACCTGCAAAAAAAAAAACAAATTATATTTGTAGTAGTAAAAACAAAATTATAGCAACTTGAAAACTTCAGTCAAGAATTATTTACTTTTCTGCAAGGTGAACCCCAGAATTCCCAATAAACAGTTATACCTCAATTTCTCAATATGTTTTAATGCATTAGGGAACACAAAGATATATTCAACAAACAAGCTTGTATTTTCTTTTTTCACTTTTTTTTTCAATCAAGCATAAAGAACTTCCATATGTCATCTCAAGCAATCTTTAAGAGTAAGAATACCTTTAATAACCTAGACGAAGATATGGCCAACCATAAGCATAGAATATTGCTCTAAACAATGATGCATTTCAGCAAGAATTATTTTGCTGATCTTTCCAGCAACTTAATAATTTTTCAAGACATGTAGAAGGATCCATTTCAGCTGGCAGAAACAGCAAATCATCGAAGTCAACCTGCTTTAGCAAACCAGAATTCATTATGGAAGTGATTGATTTGAACACCATATAATCCCAAAAGCCCTGCATGCTTTTCTTTGACAACCGAGCAAACATGAAAATAGTATCATTTTAATTTAGAAAATAAAAAAAGGAAACAAGACACATTTGTACTGAAATACAAAAATAAAAACAACTAAAATAAAATATTGTGGAGGGTCCAAACTCTTTTGGTGTAAGAACAAATAAGGAATACACTGCTAGAGCACAGTTTTTAAAATTATTTCTATAAATATACAAATCATATAAACATTAAATAGGCTAGAAGCATGCACGAGAAAGTTAAGATGAAAGAATTTCTTACAGAGTCTGTGTGTAGCATTCCTCAATGTCCATCTCAACATTAAGAAGTGAATCTTCCAGAGGGCTACAAGTTCAGCATGAAAAATGTTTAGCTAATAAGTCTCAATAACATAAAGTAAAGATATAAGGCTTTGATATGAAAACTTTTATCAAACCTTTATCAAAATGTTGATTATCGAAGATGAGAAATCTAATGAATAAGAACATTTGGCAAACTGCTCCGAGGAAAAATAAGTTTTGGTTACCATCATACAAGTTACAAATAAGCTAAGAATTACTAATTACAAAGATAAGCTAAGAATTACTAATTACAAAGATAAGCTAAGAATTACTAATTACAATTTGGAGAATAAAAGATATGCAAATATGTAATTAACATGTTGAGTCACAAACATGTAATCTGAAAAAGAAGAAGAAGATGTAACTAACATCCATACAATGACGAGAAACCATTTCAATTTGATTATTATTAAACAAGTTATAAACATAAGCTAAGAATTACTAATGGGAAAGCTATACAAATATGTAATTAAAATGTTGAGTCACTGACATGTAATCTGAGAGAAAAAGATGAATAAACTAATGCATGAATATCTGTGATGAAGTGACTGAGCAAGGTCATTATCAGATATATTGCACATCATGATTCTGAGAAAAAAATGATGAATAAACTAATGCATGAATATCCGTGATGAAGTGACAGAGCAAGGTCATTATCAGATATATTGCACATCGTGATCCTTTTTAACATCTTTATATAAGTTGTAATTAAAATAAACAGTTTCCCACATGAAGCATAATAACATTTTCACACTTCATATGTCCTCACAAATCCTCGATACTAGTTTTTAGTTGTATTAATCTTTTTACATACCATCTCTCGTGTAACACCCCAAACAATGAAGTATAATTTCACCTACCCAATAATAAATCATATCTGGTTGTATCATAGTAGCCTAGTGGGTCCTGCAAATGTGATAGTGATTTGGTTGCAATCTTCTACCTTATCTCATTAAATAATAGTTTATTCAAAATATTTGGAACCATTCATTGATAAGATATTGTGGTGAAAAGTCATATTTGAAACAGAGAACCAATAATCCATTTCGGTTACTCTATAATTTGATGAATAGACCAACAAAGCATTAAATAATGTTAATAGAAAAGAAGGAAATAGAAAGAAGATTCAAAGGAAAAATAATCAGTGGCCTTTGGAAATGAAGTTTGATAATTAGAGCAATATGTTCGTTCGGGTCGCTGCTGCTACCTTTTGCATCATCATCTTCAGAACTCAACAGATCAAAAACAACACCAGCAGTACCAGAAATTTCTGTTCCAGCGTTACACTGATGACAAAGAACCATTTATGAATGTTATGACTACAGCTGGAAATGAACATAGCACAACGCAAATAGGGAAAGAAGAAATAGGTTGATCCTATATCACGAACGAGGCATCAGAAAGGGAAGTTATGGAGGGTATCTAGCCAACGTCGATCTGTCGTAGCTAAGTCTGCCGCCCCTTGGAGCTTCCTCAATTCAGAACTGGTCAAAGGGTCCAAAGCAAATTCGAAGGCATACGAGGCAGCCATGGTTTCTACTTCAAAATTCGAATGGAGATAAGCGAACTGGATGGGAACATAGAGAGCCTCGGATCTGAAACACTTTTTGTAGATCTGCATCTATTTATAATATTCTCGATGATCAGAGACTATATTGTGATAAGGAGAATGGATGATTCGAACGGAATAATTTGGTTTTCGACTGGCGGTCACTGACGACGGCCGATGTGGTATCCACCGATGGTTAATGGCGGCCGATGATCTGCCGTTGGAACCTCCTTGCTTGAGATATGAAAAGAGCACTGAAAAAAAATAGAAATGGCGATGGTAGCGTGAGATGAGAAGTTTCATAATTTCTTTTGAAATCAGTGTGTGGTGTTAAGATAGCAAGATGGACAAATCATAGTTTCAGTCCTCTATGTTTGGTAAGGTTCTAACTTGTCCATCAGTTTTAATAAAATTTCAACCAAGCTATGATAGTTTAAATTAATTCAATCTAGTACCTGATTTTAGTTATTAAATATTTTAACGACTTTGAAAGTTTTGTTTAATCATTTGGGGTTTCCAAATTATTATTTCAATTATATAAGCTATCTTTATGGCAAGGAAATATTTGAATACGAGTTAAAATATTTTGATGGTTTGGATCGAGAGGAAAATATTGGAAGTTGAATTAAAGATCGAGGGCGTTCGAATGGAATTTAAATGGTCATCAGTATTGCACGGAAATCGAGGTAATACTTTACTACCTCTTTATGCTTTATGGAACATGTTGATTGGTAAATGCATGAATAAGATAATGTTGATCACTTTTGTGGAGTTTTAATTTATACACTCGATATGAATGTGGTAGAATTCGATATTGAATTCGGATCGAATGATTAATATAAGAGATTGAGGGAATGTTAGAATTAAATTACAAGTTGGTGATTTGTGATAAAGAAATCATCCATGGATTTGTAACTTATATTTTAAAGGATAAATGTAAAGGTACTTGGATGGGAATTATGAGAATACTCCGGTAGGGTAAGATTACGAAAATACCCTTATATTGTAAGATGACAAGAATTGTCCTGGAAGTTGGTAATAACTCTGAAAAGACATATTGATCCGATGATTAAGATGTGCATAAGAAATGCTAGTTTTACTTAGAAAATTTGGATAATTGGTTTTTAACCCTAAAAGGGTTTGTATAAGATACTATAAGTTTGTTAAGGAATCATTTTGAGATCAAAGAATGTTCGGGAAAGCAATTAACCATTGGATCTCTAAAGTATAGTTATTTTCGTTAAGAGTTAATACATAAATTATCTGATTAAGATTACGAAAATGCCCTTGAGAGGTAAAAATAGTCCAAGTTGACTCTGAATGAGTAACATGAGAATTTGTTTTTAAACCGATAATTACTGATTTGATTGTGAGATCCTATTTTTGTATGGAAAATTTTGATAATCCGTTAGTAACATCTGAGAAGGCATTTAACTTGGAAATATCTTAATTGAGTAAGTACGTGAAGAATAATAATTATCGATGGTGATATTTTGTCAGAATAGTTCAAATGGACTGACATAAATAAATTTGAATTAATATAGATCGAACGAAAGGAAATGATTGAAATATTCTAGATTGTAAAATGACCAAAATACCATAGGATGGAAATGACTCAAGAATGTCACCAAGCTCAGGAATGAATAGATATACTCAAGCTTTGAAATGAATAGAAAAATATTGAGCACCAAAATGACCAAAATACCCTATGGCCTAGAAAAGTAAATGTCTTGGATTAATTAAGGAATCCAAATAACATGGATGTTGTACTGCTCTTAAAGTTGTGGAACGCATCTTAAGTGATCAACCAACGTTATGCTATATCATTACCTGAAGATATAAGTACCACTTGAATGTTGTTCATCTTCTCAAAGTACTTGGCTCAGCTCAACTCTAGAGTGCTACAGTACTAATAAGTGGGTATTCGTGAGTCAAATCTACCACGAATACCAGAATAACTTTATTAATGAGTAAATTGAACTGAAATGAAGTACAAAGTGTATTTGAAATTCAGAAACGTCTGAATTATTCTGGAAAACTTTAAAGTAATCGGGATAGACTTGCTTACTAAACGAACTAAGTAACATCAATGACTAAGGATTAAATAGGTGATTTGATGAGTTTGGAAACACTGTTGAACTACATGATGAATTGTCATTATGGTTTATGAGCCATGGATCAAGTACGTCAGTATTTCCTGATATTGTTGAAACGGAAATGAAATAAAGACCGTTGGAAGATTTATTCAGTGATGATTATGGGGATGATCTATGGATCTGCTATGGTATTAAAGAGTGAATACACTGGGAGGATAATGAATTGACTTGTTGACATGCATCAGTTTGAGTGTTGTGTAACTCGAGTTGTTTGATAATATGATCGATAGTAGATTGTAAATGACTTGAATCTTCGATTCTATATTTCATCTAAAATCACTTCGGTCATGTTTGAAAAAACAAGTAACGCATATGAAAAAGATTCTGAATATCTCATTTGGTTCAATTGGGCTGAAATCCTATGAATTTAATGTATATTCCTGAATACCCCTGATTGTTTGGGTAAT